CAGTGGCAGACCTGCCAATTCTGGTGTTCAATGGCAAATGCCAATCGAGCTCTATGGTGGGGGTAGTAAGCGCAGGGCCCACTCGAGGATATCAGGCCCTCAGGCCACCCTCATGAAGTCTGTTTCTGATTGTTTGGTCAGAGACATTCACACCAGTGGCCTGCTGGAGGTAATTTTGTAGGGCTCTGGCAGTGCTCATCCTGTTCCTCCTTAAACAAAGGTGCAGATACCGGTCCTGCTGATAGGTTAAGGACCTTCTACGGCCCTGTCCAGCTCTCTTAGAGTAACTGCCTGTTTCCTGGAATCTCATCCATACTCTTGAGATTGTGCGGGGAGACACAGCAAACCTTCTGGCAATGGCACGTATTGATGTGCCATCCTGGAGGAGTTGGACTGCCTGTGCAATCACTGTAGGGTCCAGGTATCGCTTCATGCTACCAGAAGTGACACTGACCCTAGCCAAATGCAAAACTAGTGAAAAACAGTCAGAAAAGATTAGTAGGAAAAATATGTCAGGGGCCTCCACCTGTAAAACCATCCCTGTTTTGGGGGTTGTCTCATTGTTGCCCACCTAGTGTACCTGTTGTTAATTTCATTAACACCAAAAAAATGTTTTTAACCACTTGAAAGGATTTACCCTCTTCATGACCAGCCAATTTTTTTGCTATTCAGCACTATGCTACTTTAACTGGCAATTGCTCGGAAAAGCAACACTGTACCCAAATGAAATTTATATAATGTTTTTTTTACACAAATAGAGCTTTCTTTTGATGGTATTTTGTCACCATTGGGTTTACCACAGTTTACTACTGTGGGCAGATGTTCAGGGATTATTATTTTTTTTGACACTGTGATCAGTGTAATCAGCAATCATTTGAACTGTTGTGAATAGATTTCATTCATGATTTAGTGTTTGCTATTGTGATGCTGTGATTGGTCACAACTGATCACATCGTACAGGGTGCTGTGATTGGCACAGGTACCATGTGATCACTTGTAACCAATCACAGCATCACAACAGTAAGCAAAATGTCATGAATGAAAGCCATTCATGACAGTTTGCATACAAGTTATCATGTGATCACTATGATTGGTGCCTCAATCACAGGATTACACCACTGTGTGCCCCAGGGGGCATGCCAGTTTGCATGTGCTCAGCGACATACCAGTAAATATACTGCTAGGGGGCAGCAAGTGGTTAAATTACGATTGGCTGGAAGCAGCAATTGTAGTTTTGCTTAAAGGGATACAATAAAAATGTTCAATTCCTTTAAATAATATGCCTAGGGGAAAACTCTTAACATTCCTGTGAAGTGGTGCATCTGTACTATGTATACAGCCTACTGCAGCAAAACTGACATTAAGGGCTTGTTCACACTTGACTAATTTCTAACTCTTGCCAAGTGCCCCTATAGCGTTTGACAGGCGTTAGACAGGCATTTGGGAAGCTGTTTTAACGCTCCTCAAATGCTCCCCAAATGCCCTATGCATGTTTCTGAGGTGTTTGATAGGTGTTTTCCAAGCGTTAAAACCGCACCACAAACGCCTATAATGAAGTTTAATGGTATTAACACTCCGCAACCGCCTCAAAACTGCCCTGCAAATGCCTGCCAGGCGTTTGAGGAGCATCACCATAGACTTGAATGGGAGGTTTCAACTCCTCCTGACTCGACATGAGGGGGTTTATTTACTAAAGCTGGAGAGTCCAAAATCAGACTCCCTTCTGCATAGAAACCAATCAGCTTCTAACCTCAGCTTGTTCAATGAAGCTTTGGCAATGAAACCTGGAAGCTGATTGGTTTCTATGCAGAAGGGAGTCTGATTTTGGACTCTCCAGCTTTAGTAAATAAACCCCCAGGTGTCAATTTTGCCACGCCACAAAAAAACCTGCCCAAAAAACTTCAAAAGTTCAAATAATGCATGCTCCTCAAAAAGTGAGACCAGTGCCGTTTTCAATAGCAACAAAAAATTGCAAATAAATATATCCCTAAATAGCCACACATGATGCAAGTTTACTTTGTGGGCACCAAAAGCATTTGCAAACCCTTATTTTAAATTGCAAAAATTGCAGTAACATCATCACTGTGCCGAACGTACTGTGCAGAAGCTCTGGGTGGGACTCCACATGTCCTCCCACTACAGGCTTCCTGCAGAAAATGGGGGCAGATACAAGACCAGTCACCCTGCACAAAGCAGGAGAGTAGCAGTGACTGATATACTGTATATTACAGAAAATTCTGTACAGAGTCAAGTGCACTAAAAGTGCAAGTTCAAGTTGGATTTCTGCACATATGCAGAGGAAATATACAAGGAGACACAAGATTCAATCAACAGTGCAGACAATATTTGTTTTGCCTAGAGTTTAGAACTAATGCTTGAACTACATTGTATATGGAATTTATATAAACAGGGGTTATAATACTCCATAGAAACAAGTTGTCCCCAATATAATATTCAAATGCAATAAAGCTTGTGATCTCTTGGTCACATAGCTAAATGTAGCCCTCTTGTGGCCTAAATGTAGCCCTCTTGTGGCCTAAATGTGGCCCTCTTGTGGCCTAAATGTGGTCCTCTTGTGGCCTAAATATAGTCCTCTTATGGCCTAAATGTGGTCCTCTTGTGGCCTAAATGTAGTCCTCTTATTGGCTAAATGTGGTCCTCTTGTGGCCTAAATGTAGTCCTCTTATTGGCTAAATGTGGTCCTCTTGTGGCCTAAATGTAGCCCTCTTGTGGCCTAAATGTGGTCCTCTTGTGGTCTAAATGTGGTCCTCTTGTTAAAATTGATTTGGAACTTTGAAATGTAAAATCAAGAGTTGGATCGAGTTATTATGTTATGATTTCCAGTCGTTTCCTGTATAATTCAGTGAAAGGTTACATTTGGTTTTCTTTTACATGTTTTGCATTTCTTAGATTTGAAAAGGGCCTCATATAGAGTTCTATGAAAATAGCATGTAATTGCTTTTAGTCACAGTTTTTATATTGTTTTGCATACATTCAACATGCATTATAAGAAATGTATGTCAGGTTGTATTAAGTCCCCATTGCCCAAGACAACAGATGATTAATAGGCCTTTTTAACCACTTCAATACCGGGCACTTTTATCCCCTTCCTGTCCAGGCCAATTTTCAGGTTTCGGCGCTCTCACACTTTGAATGACAATAGCGCGATCATGCAACACTGTACCCAAACTAAAATTTTAGCATTTTGTTCACACAACTAGAGCTTTCTTTTGGTGGTATTTAATCACCAAGCATTTAACTGAATGAAATCGATTCATTCAGGTTTTTTTTGTTGTGATTAGCTGTGATTGGCCACGGTTAATCACATGACACAGATGGGCTGTGATTGGCCCAGCCTGTGCATGTGATCACTGTGACCATTCACAGCTAGACACACTTGTATACAATGGATGGCATGAAAGGAAGCCATCCATTGTATACAACTGTCATGTGACCTGCTGTGATTGGTCACAGCAGGTCACATAGTACTGGCAACGGGGCCAGTACACAGATCTGTCATTGGCCGTGTCCTGGAGGGACGAGGTGTTTGCCCGGCCGTCATTTGACTATAGGCTGGGCGGCAAGTGGTTAAGGACCATTTCAGGGCTGGATCTAGCCGGTCTGATGTGGGGGTGCAGTAAAAAATGTCAGGGGGGCAGAGGATGGGAGGTCAGCAGGGCAGTGTACAGGGGTCAACAAGGCAGAGAATAGAGAAAGCATTTTGTACGGCAGTGTACAGAGGCTATTAGTTTGTAGGGCAGAAGGGTGGAGAACTGGGGTCAGTAGTAAGTGAGGCGGAGTTCAGGGATATGTACTCTACAGAGCTCAGAGGTCAGGAGTGCGCAAATATTAATGGGCAGGATTCAGGAGATTGTCAAGGAGTGTGGCCATACTACAGTAGGGAAATAGGGCCTGAGGACGGGGTAAAAGAGATTTTCGGAGACTCTCAATATAATACAGGAGATGGAAAGAACATATGGTCATGATACAGAGGATGGTAAGAGACTGCAAATAATTTTGGCATGGTTTTGGAGATATTGGTAGATAGTTGGACGAAGGTATTGCAGATAATCAGAAACTGGAAATATGGTACAGGAGATGGTCAGAGACTGCAAATATACTACAGGAGATTGCCAGAGACTGCAAATATACTACAGGAAATGGCCAGAGACTGCAAATATACTACAAGAGATGGTCAGAGGCTATTGACATGCTACAGCAAAGGATAAGAGACTATAAACATTCTATAGGAGTTTTTCAGGGCCTAAAGGCATGGTACAGGAGTAGTATGCAGACATACTACAGGAGATGGTCAGATGCTGCAAATGTACTACCTAAGTCTATTGGCATGCTATTCGTGGTGGTGAAAGACTGCTAACATACTAATGGACATGGTCAGAGTCTATGGGCAGGGTTAAGGAAATGGTTAAAGAGTGTGGACATACTACAGTAGATAAATAGAGCCTATAGACATGGTACAGGAGATGGTCAGAGACTGCCAACATAGTACAAGAGATGGAAAGGACATATGGGCATGGTACAGAGGATGGTCAAAGACTGCAAACATGCTACTAGAGATAGAGACTATCAACATGCAACACAATATAGTCAAAGACTACATCATACTACAGAAGCTTCTCAGACTCTGTGGGTATGGAACTGGAGATGGCCAGAGACTATCACATGCAACAGGAGATGGTGAAAGGCTGATAACATATAGAGTGTTTACAGATAACATGATGCTGTGCTTACCCCCACAGAAGCTGCTAATGATAATGGGTCCTCTGATCTGCCATGACTCTCTTAACCACTTGCCTACTGGGCACTTATACCTTCTTCTTTACCAGGCCAAGTTTCAGCTTTCAGCGCTGTTGCACTTTGATTGCCAATTGTGCGGTCATGTAAGATTGTACCCAAATGAATTTTTTATCATTTTTTCCTCACAAATAGAGATTTCTTTTGGTGGTATTTAATCGCCGCTGGGTGCTTTACATTTTGTGCTATAAACAAAAAGTGTGCAAAAAATTTGAAAAAAAAAAAGGTTTCTTTGTTTCTATTATAAAATGTTTCAAACAGGTAATTTTTCTCCTTCACTGATGTGCGTTGATGAGGCAGCACTGATGGGCACCTGATAGGCGGCACTGATAGGCAGCACTGAAGGGCACTGATAGGCGGCACTGATAGGCAGTACTAATGAGGTGGCATGGATAGGCAGCACTGATAGGCGGCACTGATGATGAGTACTGAAAGACAGCACTGATAGGTGGCACTGACTGGCATCACTGCTGGGCACTGACTGGCGGCACTGCTAGGCATTGGCTGCCGCAACTGCTGGGCACTGACTGGCACAACCGCTGGGCACTGACTGGGGGCAGCACTGCTGGGTTGCATTGATGGGCACTGGTGGGCACAGGTGGGTGGCACTGGTGGGTGGGCACAGGTGGGTGGCACTTCTGGGCACAGGTAGGTGGCACTTCTGGGCACAGGTAGGTGGCACTGCTGGGTGGCACTGCTGGGCACAGGTGGGTGCACTGCTGGGCACAGGTGGGCAGAGCTAGTGGGTGGCACTGCTGGGCACAGGTGGGCGTAACTGGTGGGTGGTGCTGCTGGGCACCGATCATCAGGCCACTAATCATCAGTGCCCTGATGATCGGTGCCTTTCCCTGCTCTAACAACTGCCGGTTCTCGGCAGTACTTTCCTCACGCTCTGACAGCGTGAGGAAAGTGCAGCCGAGAACCGGCAATTGCATTTCCCGGTAATCAGCGTGTCATTGGACACGGCTGATCACATGGTAAAAGGCCACTGTGATTGGCCTTTTACCACATCACGTGATCAGCTGTGTCTGTAGGACACAGCAATCACGGAGATTGCCGGGTGCGCGCCCCCGGGGGCGTGCAGGAGAGCGCGTTCTGGGAGGACGTCATATGACGCCCTCCCAGAACTAGCCAGCCGCAGTGTAGCCGTCATTCAGCTATCTGTGGTTGGCAAGTAGTTAATCAAGCAGTCTCCACTGACACACTTGGCCTTAGACAAAATGAAAACATTTACTCCTGTGGATTGAAGGGTTAATAGGCTACCACTCTATAAGAATGCACAGGAATGAGGCCACAAACAACATGGCGATAAATTAATTTAATATGTTATGGCAGTTCAACATGGTGTGGATCAACAAACAGAAAATAACTCAGGCTTAAGGCACTATGACAAAAGTATAGGCAACAAACCACTAACTATGTGTGCCGCCGCAAACAGTGGACGTGGCTAAATTATGCCACATAATAGGTAGTCTGTTTTTTTTAATAATTTGTAACTATTTTGTTACATTTAACATAATTTTTTTACATTTGTTTTTTCACAACACTGTTAGGGGTGGCAACGTCTATGGTGAGATATCAGATACCCTTGACGTTTCACTTTTGAGTTAAAGAAAGGGAATGAGGAAACTCATTCCCCAGTTCCTTTCTGCAGCCTCGGCTGCACTGCAGATGAATGAACAGGACAGAGGCTCCTGTTCTTTCATAATCTGAAGAATAGTGTTTACTAGTTTACTATGCTTCAGTTATGAATAAGCACACTAAGTGATCAGTACCAACCACCAACTGTGTTCCTTTAAAAATGGAAGGGTTCAGTAATTGACATAATTACCAACCCCATCCCCTGCTCTCCATCCTGAAGATCCCCTGCATCAGCCAGTGGGAGAAGAGAGGAGGAAAGCGCCACAGGGGGGGCTTTCAGCTGCTGCAGAAGATCAGTTCCAGTTATTTCCCCCACACCCGCTGCACCAATCAGTGATCTTTGCTTGGCTTTGGTTTGCCTCGTGACTGCAGGAAGAATTATACCCCCAGTTACATTTGGTGGGCAAAGGGTGCACACTGCAACCTCTCCGCCATGTTTGTGTTGCAACCTCCCCACAATACACATGTGGTGGGGTAATGCAGCATTTAGGGGGGTTAAAACAGGTGGTGAGGAGGTGATATATCACCTCCTGTCCAATACCTCTGAAAAGAAATCTGTGTGCTGATTGCTTTTCATAGGAGTGGAAGTCTTTTTCAGTCAAGCAGCAATCGGGGGACATGTGCAATTGTCAAGGGGGATGGGGGTGTTAAGTATGCCTGCATTTTAAGTTAAGTATGGCTGCAATTATCCAGCCAGGATCTACCCCTAAGAGCTACAGTTGTGTCTGTGTACTCCAACTTGGTACCTGCACACCTGCACTGCACATACGCACAGAACGTTCTTTCACAGTGCTCTGTGTGTGTGCACATCAGTGATGGTAGAGTATGGGCTAGGCTACCAAGGCAGATACAGCAGGGATAGGAAAGATGGATCATGGGAGGCGGAGCATATTCATCACCCTGTTCAGCACACTGGGCTGTCCACTGCCATTCCTGTCTTTATCAATATCTCAGGCACAGGATTTGTGTGAGTGAGATATTGAATAACAGGATCGGCACAGCACAGTGACAGTGTGCATGGTGCCTCCCACAGATCCCAGTCACAAACTCCCAGGAATCCTGGCTGAGACCACCAGAGATCAGCAATGAAAGCCTACAAGAAGATTAAGGCAGAGATGGGGCACTGTGAGTAACTTGGGGGCACTGAAAGTAACTGGAGCATGGTGAGTAACTGGGACACTGTGAGTAACCAAGGCACTGGGAGCACTGAGACAGTGTGAGTAACCTGAGAGTCAGTCTGAACTGAGGTTCTTTGGGTAACCGTGTGAGTACTGGGACACTGTGTGTGCTGAGACATTGGTTGTTCAGAGGCATTGTGAGTGAGAGCAGAAGGAGAGGACACTGGGGGTTGAATGAACAGTGAGCAGAGGAAGATGATGCCAGAGGCTGTGTGATCAGTGAGCAGGTGGAGAGGGCTCCAGGGGCTGCGTGATCAGTGAGTGGAAGGAAAGGACAGTGGGGGTCATATGATCAGTGAGTGAAAGCAGGGGGTGAGGGTACCGGGGGCTGTGTGGCAGTAAGAAGGGAGGACTTCGGGGGCTGAGTGATCTGTGATTGGGATCAGGAGGAGATGACGCCATGGATTGTGTGACCTGGGAGCAGGAGGAAAGAACAACAAGTCCATGTGATCAATGAGCAGGATCAGGAGGAGAAGAGGCTTTGGGCCTTGCGATCAGTAAGCAGGAACAGAAAGAGTGGACACCAGGGGCTGTGTTATCAGTGAGCAAGTGATCCCAAACAGTTAAGAAAAAGAACTAGTGCTAAGTTTAACAACAAATTATGTAAAAACATGTTTAACCACTTGCCTACTAGGCACTTATTCCTTCCCCCTTCCTGCCCAGGCCAATTTTCAGCTTTCAGCACTGTCGCACTTTGAATGACAATTGCACGGTCATGCAACACTGTACCCATATGAAATTTTTATAACTTTTTTTTTCACACAAATAGAGCTTTCTTTTGGTGGTATTTAATCACTGGGTGTTTTATTTTTTGAGCTATAAACAAAAAAAGAGCAAAAAATTTGAAAAAAAACCCTTTTCTTTGTTTCTATTATAAAATTTTGCAAACAGGTAATTTTTCTCCATCACTGATGTGTGTTGATGAGGCTGCACTGATGGGCACTGATAGGAGGCACTGATAGGCGGCATTGACAGGCAGCACTGATGATGCTGCACTGATGGGCGGAACTGCTGGGCACTGATGGGCACAGGTGGGTGGCACTGATGGATACAGGTGGGTGGGACTGCAGGGCACAGGTGGGTGGCACTGATGGGCACAGGTGGGTGGCACTGCAGAGCACAGGTGGGTGGCACTGCTGGGCACAGGTGGGTGGCACTGATCATCAGGGTCGATCCCCTCGCTGACAATTCTGGGCAGTACTTTCCTAACACTGTGACAGCATGAGGAAAGTGCAGCTGATAACCGGTAACTGTATTTACCCGGTGATCTGCTATGTCATTGGACACAGCTGATCACGTAGTAAAAGGCCACCGTGATTGGCTGTTTAGTGATGTGATCAGCGGTGTCCGTAGGATACAGCGATCACCGGCAGCACCAGGAATGACATCCATTTACATCGTCCCAGGATTACACAATCGTGCTGTAGCCATCCTTCGGCTATAACGCGGTTGGGAACCGGTTAAAGTATAACTAAAGGCAAAACGTTTTTTTTAATCTGGATAGAGTGAAAATGGATTAGAACACCTGTCAGTTTTTACTGCTGTCTGTGCCCACATTAAGGAGATTCGCCCTCTCTAGTTGCCCTGTTTACTAATATCATTGAAACTGAAAGTAAAAGAAAATCACAAAGTGTGGGTTGTCCCAAGAATTGTAATACTGTAGAGGGGAAATCTTCCAATAAAGACACTAGTCCTGGTGACCTGGTGGTCCCCAAGGAATTCCCTCAATTTGAAGAGATTTCCTCTCACTTCCTGTTTGGCTATAGGACAGGAAGTGAAGGGGAATATCTGCAATAAGACACAGATGGCAAAAAAAAAACATCCCTTGCTCTATCCAAAATAAAAAAAGGTGTTGCCTATAGTTCTACTTTGTTTTTTTCCTGTATTATTCCCATTAGTTTAGTGGGTAAAATGTCCAACAAGAATGGTGCTGTGACCCAGTTCACATCTTGCTCCAGGTATTCAGCTTTTTGAGGGTGAATACTGCTGTGCGATATGTCAGCAAGTTGTTTGTTTGGAAGCACAGATCTTGGATCTAAAGAATCAACTGGCAGCACTGCATAGCATCAACAAACAATGAGTTTGGACATCAGGTGCTGGCTGCAGCCAGTATAGAGGGAGGTGATGATATGGACTTGCAGGGGCCAGAGGTACTCATTCACATTGGGGGACCAGGATCTGGGGGTCCTCTCGTTAAAGGGGGCTTCCAGATTCCAATATGTCACCCCCAGCTTCCGTACAACCACTGGGCCAGGGTTGTGGGGAAAAGGCCCTTGTCCTCATCAACATGGGGATAAGGTTCTTAGGGGGGAGAAAATCACTCCCCCTTGTTGAGGGTGTAAGCCATGTACCGGGGTGGGCTCCCCAGGATACAGTGAAGTCACAAACGAGGAAAGCAACCCCAACACCAGCTTTTGCCACAACAGAATTTTACTTAGATGTGGCAAATATACACAACCACAAATGCTGGAAACATACAATAAATTTACATACACCCAGCCCAAAGGCTGAGACCCTTGTGCTGCACAGCACGGCGCCTTCTGATGGATGAAGGTAGAAGGTGTAGTAATTTACCTACTGGCAGGCACAACTAAGCTGCCACACCTTACCTGTTATTACCCTAAAAGAGCAGGAATCAGTGTATGGGTGTATGGTATGGGCTAGCCTGCGGTGCAGCACAACAGCTTACAATCTTACACAAATCTACAGTATTCCCCCTCCCATAACTGGTCCTGTAGCACGTGCCTGAGTATTCCTTCTGAGCAAAACGCCAGTCTGGCTTGAGTTTGTAGGATTTTATCAGCTCTCCAATGTGAAATGTCACTTTAAGTTGTGGAGTCCTTCCAATGATCAGTAACAACACTTGTGGCCTGACACAAACAGAGATCCTAACTAACTATAGGTCTGGACTCAGTCTCAAGGCTCCAACACTGAAATGAGGTGCGTGCACGATCTTACGGATCCGGGTCTGCTTTGTATCCGCTGGTAACTCTGAACAGAACAAATGTCTCTCCAACAAGCATGCGGTCTCGCCGTATATGTTGCTTAGTTACTCTGCTCTCATCAGCATTCCTGGCAGCAATCTCATCAGCTTCCTGGCAGCAATCTCATCAGGTTCACTTAGCTGCAGCTCTGGTTACAGAGGGATGCTTTCACACCTGGATGTCATCAGATTCTCAGCTCACAGGGCCCCTTATTCACCATCCTCCAGAACATGGCTGCTCTCTCTTCTTCCTGTTCCCTCTCTCCTCTGTGTGAAAAACCCCACCTCTTCATGAATATAGAAATATCTATGCAGTTTGAGGCTGTGTTAGAAAAACAGTGACATCTTGTGGCTAAACTGCAGAATGTCAGTCAAAACATTTAATTTACTCCACACAAGCAGTATTCAAACAATGAGAGCTGTTTCCCCATCTCACAAGGGTATGTGGCCTGGTATGGTTCAGTGAGGGGTGCGCTCACTTGCCCCCCCTTTTCCTGGTCTACCAGGCTGCATACTCAGATAAGAGCCTGGTATGGATTTTGGGGAGACGGAGACCCCATGTCATTTTTAAAATAATGTTGGTGTGGGATTCTCCTCAAGATCAATACCAGATAAATATTGGGGGGACCCCCACACTGTTTTCTAAAAAGAAATTTTAATGCCAGCATTTGATTTGTTTATGTTCTGCTGTCAGGGGGCAAAACTGATGACAGCAGATGAGTCATGGTTGTTAAAAACCTGGTGGCTGCCCGCAAATACCTATTCACAATGAATTCGGGTAATTCGTTATGTCGTTATATTATTTTGGATGCTTCAAATATCAGAATGAAACAAATACATTTTGTTGTTTCCTTATAAATTTTTTCAGATTAGTTGAAATTCCTTACTATCCAAATCACTGAAGAAGGAAAATTTCATCTGAATTATGATTCATAATGAAACGAATTGCACATGTCTAGTTGGGGAGATCAGCTCAGGAGCAGCATTTCTGAAGTAGTCTACATTCTCTAGCTGCCAGGGGAATGATTGCTTTGGTGAGGATGGGGGCAAGGTTACTGGAAAGGATAGACAGATACTGGTGGTAGGGACCCAGTCATTAGAAGGACAGATAGAGCACAAAGACTGTGATTGCCAAACAGTATGTTGTTTAGTGGTTGCTCAGGTTTGGCACATCATGGATTGGATGGAGAGATTGTTGGGTAGGGCGGTGGAGAACCCAGCTGTCATGCTATATGTTGGTAACAATGACAAAGTTAGAGGAAGATGGAGAGTGCTAAAATGTTATTTCAGGGACTAAGGGGCCTAATAAAAAAGACCTCCAAGGCAGTATTCTCAGAAATTCTGCCTATACTTCAAGCCACACTAGAGAAGCAGCAAGAGCTTAGGGAACTTAACAAGTGTCTGAGGTACTGGTATAGGAAAGTGGGTTTTGGTCTCACGGCGAACAGGGCTGACTTTTAGGTCAGTTTTCCACCTTATAGCAGGGACAGACTGGGGAGGATGCAGCTCTGATAGGGCAGAAGATGGCCAAAAAAGTTGGAGAAATTTTTAAACTTTATGGTGGGGAGAGATCAGAGGAAACTATTTCATGCAGTGAGCGAGGGGCAGAAGGTGCTACAGTGGTCAATGCTGATAGTGTAATTGGAGTACCTAAGACCAATATGTGTAGGCTGGCAGAATCCTACTGCAGCCTCAGAACTAACAAGGATGAAACTCCTAATGGAGCAAGGGAGGAGCTGTAATCCTTGTGGCTGGAGTTTCAAACAGAAGAAACAAAAGGGTAATTAATAGTGGGTGTAAGGATGAAGAGGAATCTATCTCCTCTCAAAGTTAGAAATGGTGGTAAAGTAGGGCAACATGATTATCATGGAAGATTTCAGATAGAACTGTTCACCCATCTAAAGCCCCGTATACACTTTTAGAAAATCAGACGAATGATTGCGCATTTTTTTCTGCATGCTAGTCTCAAGTTAAAAGTGAAGAGATTACTAAAGTTACAAAAATTCTTTAATGACGGAATAAAAATTTGGAAGATTGTATTTTTATTGTATTTTTGGACGACTACTGTACTGGTTGAACGAAAATTGTACGATCCAGTATCGTACGATAAAAATTTTTGTGCTTGTCTCTTCTAAAAAAAGCGGTATTTTTTATACGATATTCTGATCGTGTATATGGTTCTTAAGACTCGTCATTTCTTGAATGTCTTAGAGGACAATTGCATGTGTCAGTTGGTGGATGCCCCAACTAGAAACAAGGCTCTGCTTGACCTACTAATTACAAACAACACATGGTTGACTGCAGATGTGGAAAGGATAACGTAGGAAACAGCGATCACAGGATAATTACATTCACCATAAATCATAGAAAAAGAAGACACAAGGGTAGGTCAAGAACATTCAATTTCAAGAGCGCCAACATTACTAAACTGCGCTCCATACTTCCCAACATTAAATGAGAAAAAAAAGAGAAAAAACTGTCTTTTAAAAAATACAGGGCCATGGGGACATTGTCAGAATTCCAAGGCTCAGTAGTACCCACACTTTGTAGATCCCCAGCTCATTACTACCCATGTTCAGCAGATCCCCAGCTCATTGGTACCCTTGTTCAGCAGATCCCCAGCCTATTAGAACCCTCGTTCAGCAGATCCTCTGCTCAGTAGTACCCCCCCAGCTCTGCTGATGCCCTACTCAGTAGTACCCCGAGATTTGCAGTTTACCTGCTCAGTAGTAACCCCAGCTTTGCTGAACCCCTGCTCAGTAGTAACCCCCAGCTCTGCTGATCCCAGCTCAGTAGTAACTCCCAGCCCTGCCAATCTCTCATTAAGCGGTAACCCCCAACTCTGCTTATCCTCTGGTTTGCTGATTTTCCTCTCTCTCCAGTCCCCACACATCTCCTGATATATTGCTCCTAGGCTGTGCACCATGTGTGACATTGCTAATTTCTCTTGCTCTAGTCCTCCAGCTCTGCTGATCCTCTGCCGCTCAGTCCTCTCTCTCCAGTCCCTGCTTACCTTCTGTTATAGCGTTCCCATGTTCCACACCACAT